GCATCATGAAGGCCAAGGACCACACCAGACAGGTCAGGGATAAAGTGGTGGAGAAGTTTAAACAGGGTTAAGTTATAAAAAAAATATTCCAAGCCTTGAACATCTCACGGAGCACTGTTCAATCCATCATCCAAAAATGAAAAGTGTAAGGGACAACTGTAAACCTACCAAGACATGGCCGACCACCAAGACTGACAAGCCGGGCAAGGAGAACTTTAATCAGAGAAGCAGCCAAGAGGCCCATGGTAACTCTGGAGGAGCTGCAGAGATCCACAACTCAGGTGGGAGAATCTGTCCACGAGACAACTATTAGTCGTACACTCCACAAATCTGGCCTTTATAGAAGAGTGGCAAGAAGAAAGCCATTGTTGAAAGAAAGCCATAAGAAGTCCGGTTTGCAGTTTGCAAGAAGCCATGTGGGGGACACAAACATGTGGAAGAAGGTGCTCTGGTCAGATGAGACCAAAATTTAACATTTGGCCTAAAAGCAAAAAAATGTGCATTTATTATTTTTGTCAAAAAGGTGAATCCTTTAAGCGAAATAGTGTGTGTGTGTGTGTGTGTGGGGGGGGGGGGGGGGGTCTTAGGCTCCTGAGCAAAGTCATTTTTGCTGTGAACTCTGGCATTTCTATGGACAGCCCTTGAGCTACTAACTGTGCAGAGTTGTGAGAAATACCATTAACAACACTGCATAGTCCCAAAAGCACAAACGACCATCCTAGACATAGGTGGCTACGGGATGACGGTGAGTGTCAGTCCATGTGGGGCACCAGTCTGAGCACAGTGGAGCACATGAGCACCTGTTATTGTACACGAAGTTCACAATCAAGAGTTTTAGCACTTTGCATTTTGTTTTCACTTATTGGGACTGAATGATTAATATCAGTATCAGTATTGTTATCCATATATTGTCACAAAGATATTCATATTTTGCACTTTTTTTATGCGCGGTCCATATGGTATTCACTTATGCAGAGATGTGACATTCCAAAATGGTTCTATTTTTTTTTTTTACTTCATTTTAAACTAGTTTGTAATTTTGAACATTATTTATGCTGCAGTTGCAATGTATAATGCTCATAACAGTAATAATTGGTATAACTTTTTAGAAATAGTTCTGTTTTTTTTACTGATATTGTATAACATAGTGAGTCAGGCTGGCCTTTCTGGAAAAGTGTGAGAACTGCTGACCTCAGACTCATATATTCCAATGCACAGTGTATACACAGAATGCACCGTTTATCCACAAGTGGTATTCCAATAAAACCCGTTGTAATCCATCACTGTATTTCTTTATCACAAGGGGAATCTTCTTATCTTCTTATCTTTCATATAGGTGCTGTTTGTTGGATGTATTGATTAATTCTCTCTCACTTGATAGTCTACAACCATGTAGTAAAAGGCCCTATTAATTTCACTGGTGTAGGATATATATTCATCGATCAAGGCTGACAAGGGAACTCATTTACAACACGTGTTCACCTAGTTACATTGGATCTCCCATAAAATATAGAATGCTCAGACATTTCTGAGCAATAAATACTGAGACCTTTACATCAGTGTAGCTTTAATAAAGCAGCATAGACAAGTAACAGATTTAAAGTGGTAGTAAACTCTTCTTTATATATAATGAAGCTTACCTGTAGGTAAAATGAATATCTCCTAAACGTGACGTTTTTGGGACATATTGACCCTTTTTGATATTACGCGCATGTGCTCTGAAGGAGCAGCATACCCGGCAAATTTAAAAAAAAAAGCTCAGTATATATACTGACATTTGTAAACGCTATAACTTTCATGTAATCCAATTAATTTACACGTACTGTATTCGGATTTTTTTTAACAAAGACATGTAGCAGAATACATTTTGGCTAAATTTATGACGAAATTGGATTTTAAAAAATTTTTTTACTAGACATGGTGCACCGATAGATGACCGCGCAATTGTCAGTTAAATTAACGCAGCGCCATAACACAAAAAATGACCCTGTCAGAAAGAGGGGTAAATCCTCTGGAGGGTAAGTGGTTAATTTCACCTTCCTTGTTGATTAAAATGGTTTTAGTCAAAATATTCAGCAAAATGTCCCAAGGAAAGGAGGTTATATGCTGCTTTGAGGAAGGTATTTAAAGCCCAACTAAGGCCTCGTTCACACCATACGTGCAGAAAAACTGATGGAAACTGATGTGCTGATTTCACTTGCAGAGACATCACTTTACATACACACTTCATTGAGTTTTATACATGTTGCAGATTCCTGCACAGAAAAAATCTGCACATGATACTAGTGTTGTGGTGTGAACAGGGTACATAGAGAACAATTGAGTTCATTGTGTCCTTGCAGAACACGTGCGGAAAAACTGATATCTCTGCACCATGGTGTGAACGAGCCCTTAAAGCGGAAGGCAAGTCAAAATATAACTATTCTTGAACCTGCTCCTTCCGCCACTCAAAGCCTATTCAATCTACTCTGTAAAAGGAAAGATACCTATACTTACCTATTCTGAAGTCACTCTGGTCTGATCACATGATCTCTCCAGCACCGGCTTCAGTGTGGAGGAGAGATCGCCAACAATGGATGCAGAGCCTGGGTGATGACATCACCCATAGACTTTGTGATGGACCACCTTGCACTCCACTTGAGTGTGTCTGTCAGAGAACTGCTTTCTCATTGCTGGGACACAGGACTAAGGTATTATAGCTAGGCATCTCACCCAAAACTTGGAAACACTAGCTTAGGTGCAAAAACTAGAACTGTTTATTGAACAGAAATACAGGTTTGTATACACTTCAGAAATAGGGGCAGTCCCCATATGAAAAATGAAAGCAAATATTAAAAATTGGGATAAACATCCCACACTGATTAGGTAACGAGGTCAAGTTGACACCAGACTAATCCCATCATGTAGGAGCCTCCAGGAGGACCAAACAATAGGTGACTCAATTAACTCAATTAGTAATGGGACAAATACACATCACACCTTAATAAACAGATTACAGCAAAAGTCCTCAGGATCAGGTTGTTTTGAGCTGATTATATTAATATCTGCTTAGAGTCTCTGAGTGTGTGGGGTGGGGGGATTGAAGCAGTCAATGCTGGTTTGGACACACAGACCCCATATTTTTATCCTGGTCCTCCAGTTCTCTGAGTCTGTGTGTTTTGGTGACACATGGACTTGAAGTAAAAGGTGCCTCCCAGGCACACGCCTCCCAAAAAAATAGAGCCTCCTCAGATGCCAGGGCCCATGGTCAGTAGTCAGGAAGCTAGCCTGCAGTCCCCTCCAAAAGCCCCTGTCCTGGTTGGGTCTGTCACAGGCTTGCTATGGTACATAGTTACATAGTTAGTCTGGCTGAAAAATGACAAAAGTCCATCCAGTTCAAAAAAAAAAAAAAGTTATAATCCTATACCCACCATTGATCCAGAGGAAGGCAAAAAAACTCAGCAAATCATGTTCCAATTTGCTCTTACAGGGGAAAAAATTCCTTCTTGATCTCCCGAGAGGCAATCGGATATACCCTGGATCAACTTTACCTATAAATGTTAGTATTCAGTTATATTCTGTGTATCTAAGAAAGAATCCAGGCCTTTTTTAAAGCAATCCACTTAGCTGGACAGAACCAACTCTTGAGGGAGTCTATTTCACATTTTCACAGCTGTTACTGTGAAGAAACCTTTCCGTATTTGGGGATTAAAGTGTTACTAAACCCAGGACCCAGCATTCACTATATCTGGTCTCCCACAGTACACACAACATGGAAGTGCAATTATTTTAGTAAACTGCTAAATCCCTTTTCTCATCAGCAGTTAGAGCAGTCTTGTGACTTCAGCTGAGCACTGGTTAAAACTTGTAGGATGAGTTTTCTCTAGGAGGATGGAAATCCCCTGATCTCTGTCTGGGCAGTGCTGATTGGCCCTGTGCTGATCACATGCACTCTCCCAAGAAAAAAAAAACTTTCTAGCAATACACACTAAACTAAGCATGTGCAGAAGGGCTACGGTTCAGTCTGTTTTATCAGTGTAGGCATTTGAACAAGAGGCGGAGCAGAGAAGAAAAGATCAAACAGCCTTTTTACACAATGCAGAGGATTAACCCCTTAGGTTTCACAGTGAGTATAACAAGCATGCTTTACTGCATATACAGACTGATTTTACTGTTGTGGGTTTAGTAACACTTTAAATCTTTTTTCCTCCAGACGTAAAGAGTGCCCCCTTGTCCTCTGTGATGACCTCAGGGTGAATAACTACACCGAGTTCACTATATGAACCACTGATGTATTTATACATGTTGATCATATCCCCCCTTAATCTCCTCTTCTCAAGAGAGAATAAATTCAGTTCCTCTAATCTTTCCTCATAGCTGAGCTCCTCCATGTCTCTTATCAGTTTGGTTTCCCTTCTCTGTACTTTCTCCAGTTCCCCAATGTTCTTTTTGTGAATTGGTGCCCAAAACTGAACTGCATATTCCAGATGTCTTACTAATGATTTGTACCGGGGTAATATGATATATCTCTCTCTCTGGAGTCTATACCTCTTTTAATACAAGAGAGGATTTTGCTCGCTTTAGAAACCACAGCTTGGCATTGCATGCCATTATTAAGCTTGTGATCTACCAGAACCCCCAGATCCTTCTCCACCATTGATTCCCCCAGTTGTACCCCCCCAGTATGTATGATGCATGCATATTCTTAGCCCCCAAGTGCAGAACCTTACATTTATCAACATTAAACCTCATTTGCCACATAGTTACCCAATTAAACAGTGCATTGAGGTCGGCTTGTAAGTTGGAGACATCCTGTAAGGACGTTATTCCACTGCACAGCTTGGTGTCATCTGCAAAGACTGAAATGGGATTTTTAATCTCAGACTCTATATCGTTTATAAATATATTAAAAAGTAAGGGTCCCAACACTGAACTTTGGGGTACACCACTGATGACCCCAGACCATTCAGAGTATGAATCATTAACCACTACTCTTTGAATACAATCTTTTAGCCAGTTTTCTATCCATTTTCATACGGATTTTTCCAAGCCTGTAGACTTTACCTTACACATTAGCCGTGTGTGGGGAACTTTGTCAAATGCTTCTGCAAAATCCAAGTATACCACGTCCACCACCACCCCTCTGTCCAAGTATACCACGTCCACCACCACCCCTCTGTCCAAGTATACCACGTCCACCGCCACCCCTCTGTCCAAGTATACCACGTCCACCGCCACCCCTCTGTCCAAGTATACCACGTCCACCGCCACCCCTCTGTCCAAGTATACCACGTCCACCACCACCCCTCTGTCCAAGTATATACCACGTCCACCGCCACCCCTCTGTCCAAGTATACCACGTCCACCGCCACCCCTCTGTCCAAGGTTTTGCTCACCTCCTCATAAAAAGAAATCAGATTTGTTTGACAACAAATCTTTCATGAATCCATGCTGTCTGTTGCTTAAAATATTTTTTTTCCAGCAAGAACTCATCTATCTGGTCTTTTATTAAACTCTCCAGTATCCTCCCAACTATAGAAGTTAAACTAACAGGTCTATAAATTACTTGGTAAAGATTTTGACCCCTTTTTAAATATTGGCACCACATTGGCCTTACGCCAATCCAGTGGTACTATGCCAGTCATTACAGATTCCCTAAAAATTAGAAACAATGGCTTTGAAAGGACAGAGATCAATTCTTGAAGGACCCGTGGGTGTATGCCATCCGGTCCAGGTGCTTTATTCACCTTCATTCTGTCTAAATATTTCTGGATCATATCAATTGTGAGCCAATGTGGATCATCTGGAGCTGTGCCAATTCCATGTCCATTATGGACAAGCGCTCCCCCCATGCTCCTTTGTATACACAGAGCTGAAGAAGGTATTTAATAAATTTACCTTCTCTTTGTCCCCAGTCACCCACCCTAGATTATTTTGTAAAGGGCCTATATGCTCGGACCTGACCTTTTTACTTTTCAATTTTTGCGGCCTTTATTTCCATTTTGCATATTCTGTTATATTCTTTGTAATGTTTAAATGATGATAGCGTTCCTTAATTTTTTTATTTAATAAAAGCTCTTTTCTTATTATCTATAGCTTTTTTAACTTTGGCCAGAATATATTTTGCAGTCTGTTCACATACAGTCTTTTTGAAGAACTCCCATTTCTGTGTTGTGTTCATCGATGCCAATATTCCCTCTAAGTCTAAGTCTTGGAGAGCAGCTCTCAACCTTCGAAAATTAGCTCTCCTAAAGTTGAGCGGTTTTTATTTTTCCCGTATGTGCTTGTTGTTTACAGCGAACAATAAATTAAATCATGTTATGGTCACTGCTACCCAGATGTTCTTTTATATGGACATTAGTAATATGTGTAATATACATGGTTTAGGATTACAAGTTCCAGCAGAGCATCGTTCCTAGTTGGGGCCTCTATGAACTGTGCCAAAAAATTGTTCTGTAGTAGCTTTATAAATTTTGCCCTTTAACTGTTCCTACAGTGCCATTACTCCAGTCAATTTCTGGGTAGTTAAAATCCCCCATTATTATCACTGACCCAGCCCTTGCAGCCCTTTTGGTCTGTGCAAGGAGTTGAACCTCCACCTCCTCATTAAGGGTCCCTTAAATGAACACATTGTGATATTTTATATCTTTATAGAACCCAGAATAACTCTGTATATTTTAGCCCATTGTATCAAATTTCCAGGGCAGCAGAGATATGCCAATATTCTGAGCAAGCAGCGGACTCTATAGCAGTGAATGAGTCTTCCTCAGCTGGGAACATTGCTATGTCTGCCTATACAATCCTTCTGCTGCATACCTGATATATGATCAAATTAGAGGTGATAAACAGCAACGTTCACACAGCCAAGTCTGTAACCTCAATTGCCCTCTGTTCATGAATCTGAAATCTGATCTAATAAATGATCTGATGTTTATTTTAGATCTTTGCTCAAGAAAGGTTGCAGTGATTATTTACCAGGTGTGATGCTAAATTGGTGCCAATTAATGCTAGACATGAATCAATGTTAATTACTTGTAGAGATGAAAAATGGGGAGCTGAGCCTAGGCACTGCAGAAGTAGGAGGGTGGTGGATTCATTATAAAATGTTGTGATAGACTGTAGGCAAAAATTGATCCAAGCGATTTGTTTTAGATCAATTTAAACATTTGGTTTCTCAGCTGGGTCTAAAAAATTATGCCGTGGGCTTTATTTATTGAAAAAACAAGAGGATGGATACATTATGTTGTTCCCTTTACTGCATTTTAGGGACTCACTTACATTAGCAGTAGAGATGTGTATGATGAAAAAATTGGTTTTGTTTTGATTAATTTGTTAAGTCAATAATTTTGTTTTGCCATATTTGTTATGCTAGCATGATTCATTTTCAGAATTCATTTTGTATATTCAGATTAGTTTCATATATTTGAATTTGGCAAGTCCAACCCTTATAGAGAAATGGAATGAGCTGATTGGACGATATCCAAAAGAACAAATGGAACAAAATTTATTTCGGATGTGTTCATTCCCACATGGAAGAAAAATATATTTGAAATATATTTTAAAAATATTCTTCCCAAATATATTGATATATATTTGAAAATTTGAAATACTACAATTTTGGCCGTATTCAATATATTAAAAAAAAAAAAAAGAATATATATATATATATATATATATATATATATATATATATATATATATATATATATATAATATATGTGTGTACTGCATGTGTGAAATAAAGAAAAGTGAGCGCACTCCAGTGAGCGGCAAATGCACAAAAAGGAACTACAAGCCCTTCCAACCAAAATAGAAACAATATAAGTGCAGCGCTACAAACAATGTCCAAGTGACAATTAAAATATATACGATCGTCAAATATAAGAATGTTAAAGATGATAAACAGTTCAGTGATGGGGGACTCGCAGGGAGTATAGGTGTAATCCAATCCCAGGAATAGATAAATTGCCTGCTTACCAGAAGCGCAATTACAATGCGCATGTACAGGTTTCATGTAGCCGGGGTCCCATGTAGGCGCTGCTTTATAGTATCCAGATGGTCCCTGGGCAGTATGGTTACATAGTTAGTCTGTTATTCCATTGCAGCTGTCTAAAGGGCATAGTCCGTCCAAGAATTAATCCAACACAGCTGTTATAAACTCTCACTTGCTTTAGCCCCTGACAGAGGTTCCTCCCCCGAGTTACTGGCTAAGACAGCAGAGCCAGAATTTGCAGTGACAATGGAGAAACTGTCACTGGAGAAGAATCCTGTACTTATTCTGTACACTTTGTAGAGTATATCAGGTTTTGTCAGAGCAGTAGAAAAGTATTTGGGGAAAACTTGGTCAGAGTCATCAGTGCAGAGCCATATTCTGAGCAGCACATGTTTTCCACCCCTGCAGGCCTGTGTACTGCATGTTGAAATGCATTTTTTATATATTACAAAATATATGAAGAATATTTTATTAAATATATTCTTCAGATTTTTTTTATCATATATATAAAAAAATATCACATATAAAAAAGTCATTTAACATATATTTTTACTTATATTTGTAAATGCATTTCACAAATGCATATTGGCACCACATTGGCCTTATGCCAATCCAGTGGTACTATGCCAGTCATTAACCACTTCCAGTCCGGACACTTTTACACCCTTCCTGTCCAGGCCAATTTTCAGCTTTCAGTTCTATCACACTTTGAATGACAATTGCGCGGTCATGCAATACTGTACCCATATGAATTTTTTAGCATTTTTTTTTTAGACAGATAAAGCTTTATTTTGGTGGTATTTATTCACCACTGGGATTTTTATTTTTTTTTTGCTATGTAAATTAAAATGTCCAAAAATTTTGAAAAAAAGTGTTTTTCTTATACAATTTTACAAATAAATAATATTTCATCGTAAATCTTGGCCAAAATATATTCTGTTATATTTTTAGTAAAAAAAAGTGACATCTTGCTTACTACTCTGCACGTGATCACTGATTGACCAATTAGTGAGCACATGATCGGGACCTCGTACAGTGGTCCTGTCCGACGATCGGTATTCCACTGTGTCCGAAGGACACAGCAGGCACCGGATCGCGGTGCTGCGCACTCCCAGGGAGCGCGCACAAGCAGGGTGCGGGGAGGCCGTTTATAAACGGCCACCCGACCCTGCACTGCCACCGTCTGGCCGTTTATATGCAACAGCCGGATGGGAGGTGGTTAAAGAGTCCCTAAACATGAGAAACAATGGCTTTGAAATGACAGAGCTCAATTCTTTAAGGACCCGTGGGTGTATCTTTGAATCCCAGACAATTCTGTCAGTTATGGCTGCAATCTTTCTTCGTCTACCTGACCTTGGCTTGGTTTCAAGAGATCCCCAAACTTTCCACTTCTTAATAGGTGATTTAACAGTACTAATTGGCATATTCAAGGCTTTGGACATCTTTATATGTCATTTTCCATCTTTACAAAATTCCATTACCTTGTTACGAAGGACTTTTGACAGTTCTTTTTTGATCCTCATGGCTCAGTATCTAGCCTAGTCATTGTCCATGTAAGAGCTAACAAACTCATTGACTATTTATACACTGACAATAATTGCAATTTAAAAAGCCAAAGCTGTGGGACATTAACCTCTAATTGGCATTTTAACCCGTGTGTGTCACCTTGTGTGTCTGTACCAAGGCCAAACATTCCAGGGTATGTAAACTTTTGATCAGGGCCATTTGGGTGATTTCTGTCATTATGATTTAAAAAGGAGCCACACAACTATTTGATAATAAATGGCTTCATATGATCATCATCCTTTAATAAAAGAGCATTTTTTGGCATGATCAGTCATATTTTCAATATCAATGCCAAAATTTCACAATTTCTGCCAGGGTATGTAAACTTTTGAGCACAGCTGTGTGTATATACGGTATATAAATATTGAAATATATTTTGAAATATATTGAATACGGCCAAAATTGTAATGTTTCAAATATATGTCAATATATTTGAGAAGAATATTTTTTAAATATATTTAAAATATATTTTTCTTCTATGTGGGTTATGTTATGATTTGGAGATTCTGATGGATCTAACTCCATCCAACCCAAACACAATAAGTAGGAATCATCATCTTATTACACTTTTATACCTCACTGTATTTAATGTAATATGTTTCCATTTCCTATGTAGTGCATTTTTTCTAATAAAGAAAAATGTTAATGCAAAAAAAAAAGCAATGGAACTGAAAGAACAAATAGACGTAAATTAATTTCGGATCATTCTTTATGTCGTTAAGTTATTTCGTATGCTTCAAACATTAACAAAAGGCCCAAACTATCGCATCATGTCATCTGAATTAAACAAAAGAATACGAATGAATATGCTTCTGT